ACAGTTGTAATAGTAACTGTTCCACTAGCTTCTACTGCCTTCGTTATCATAGTGAATGGTTCATTCCATGGAACAAATTTATTTGTCGGTGGATTTGAATCTGAAGCAAATGCAACTTTAAGAGTTGGATTGAAAGCAATGATATCATTTACAGATATAGATGTGCATTGTAATGCGTCGCTACTGAACTTTACTTTAAGCTGAATGTTTCCTGCAAAAGCTGGAATAAATCGAATAGCTTCTAATGGAAGGAATCTTCTAACAGGAATTCTTAAACGAAGCTTAAAATCAAATGATTTTCCTGCTGTAATTGGACCACTAACAATTTGTCCTGTTCTGCATGTTCCCGAATGACTCCATACATCTTCATGTCGAGTCTTTGAGAAAACATCTACTTTCTTTATTTGTTCGGTAGTTTGTGAGTTTGAAGTTATATATGCTTCTTCTCTTGCGTTGTCTTGAGAATATACGATACGACCATTTGCAAGGATTTGATATCCAGCAACTGCATAGAAAGCGTCATCGAAACCAATCCAAAATCCTGGTGGGTTTGTTTTATTGGAACCTGAACCAATTTCTTTATCTACATAAATTGACCTTCCATTTTATACGTAATGAATGTATTGTAAAGGTCCAACATATTTTCACCAGGAGGTGAGAGATTGAATGTTACCCATGTGTTATCTTTAGCAGTTCCAGGTTGTGATGGAATCTTTGCGTCAGAATATTTTCTATTAGTGTCACCAATTTGAACTGCATTGTCTATGATATCGAAATATGAGCGAATCTGATGAATATGCTCTGCTGGAGTAAATTCGTTTAGCTGTTCGTTCTGCATGTATTTACTTCAGATAAAAATATCTATTTACTTCATTATTCTCACTCTTCTTCTTGGCATTCGTGGTGGAAGTTGTTTCTTGACATTTTCAATGAACTGTACATTCTCTTTTGTCTCAACTTCTTTCACTGGCGGGTCAGGGTTCTTTGACTCGGTTTGTTTTTCAATGAAATTCACGAAACTTTGCAATAAGCTCTTGGTTCGTTATTGAAAGTACAATCTGGCTTCTTTTCTTCTTGTTCTTTTGGTGGCTCAGTTTGAACAGAAGGTTTTATATGGCTTCGCCCTCGGTGCCATGCACCTTAATGTTGTCGCTCTCTGCATTCGCTAATGGTACCTTTCTTTTTCTTACGTATATTTTACCATCTTTACTCTGACTTACGTAATAGAAAGGTGTTTGTATTCCTCTTGCGTCATTTAATATAATAGACTCTCGCTCTGATTTTACAAGCTCATTTTACATCGGTTAAAGTTTTAATTTTGTTTTTTATCTGCAATAATGACTCAGACAAGCCCTACGGACAAGACCCAAGGTGTCATAGATGTTGAAGCATTGAAGAAAGAAATTCGTGAGCAAATTTTATCCGAACTGAAGGAACAAAAACAAGAACAAAAGCCAGAGAGACCAAAGAGAAAACTTAGTGAAAAACAACTTGCTGCATTAGCTGCTGGAAGACAAAAGAACCCACGTTTGCTGGCAAAGAAAGCTAGAGAAGAAGCTGAAGCAAAGAAAGAGTAAATGGTTTATTTTTATCCGAATTAAATGTATAGACAAATACCTTTATCTGTTGCGTTCAGTAGTGAAAACCCTGACGTCAAAATAAAGGGAATAGAGTAACGTTTAAGTTTCCAACAGACTGGATTGTGAACATAAATGAAGAGAAGTACATTGGCATAACATCTATGTATATAACACGTGCTTTCAGAAAGGTTGACTTTATACTTCAAGTCGAGATAGAAAATGACGAACAGTCTTTAAGCGCCCAAAACATTCACATATACAAATACTTTAAAGACGATACAACATTGTTGCAATGTATGATTCATTTAATGAGATGTTTGAGAAAAAGTTCAACATTGAAGTACAAACTTTACAGCCTTTACGTGAGTTTCTTGCACAACTGAAAGAAGAAGGTAGTCAGCCACAACTTATAGACTTCATTATGAATTTAATGAAAATGAAGATGGAACACATGACTGTCAGTTTGTTGTATTCTCACCATTCAATGAAGTCGCTAAAAAGAAAGAAAATCCATTACGTATAAGATTTCAAATCTCTGAACCAAGTGATGATTTCAAGAAAATGTTTTCAATTATGATGCAATGCTTCCGAGGAAAAAATGAATTTTCAAAAGATTGTAACACCTGGCATTTTGGGATAGAAAGCAAGCTATTCTTTTCTCTAATATAGCCAAAGGCGTTGAAAATGAGTTCATTGGTCATACAAGAACTTCACCACTTCCTAACCCTAAATACTATAAATTAACTGGTTCAATCGTGAGTTTTGGATAGACATGTTCTCCACTCATGACCATAACTGCCCAGTGTTCTTACCTTCAGATGGGAAAGATTGTCTCTACATTGAAGCACAACTCTTAAACTCTACCATCGCAGTATTGTAAAATCTACGCTAGCTTTATTTTTATCACGAATGACCTCATTGCTGACAAAAATAAATGACCTCATTGCTGACCTCATTCATGACCTCATTGCTGACAAAAATAAATGACCTCATTCATGACCTCATTGCTGACCTCATTCATGACCTCATTGCTGACAAATAAAATGACCTCATTCATGACCTCATTGCTGACCTCATTCATGACCTCATTGCTGACAAAAATAAATGACCTCAGAACTTCAACTTACGAATAAAGCTTGTTTTAGTCGTTATTGAGAAGTTAAACTTCTCTTCAAAGCAAGGTTGACATGACTTACATAAGTCAATCCAATCTCTTGACCGTCATAAAGTGCTTTATAAAGTTTCATTGACACTGAACTCAGAGTTTTTGTCAATTTTCCTTGCGGAACCATTAAACCTTTATCTTCATCATAGAAACACTGAACAGAGTCAGGAAACATTTCATTAGCGGTTAAAGCAATAACATCTTGCTTCACGCCTTTCATTCTGCAGTGAAATGCAACTTTCATTTAAATCTTAGTGAGTAAGTCTATGTAGGTCTTCTTTCCACAAAATATTGACTTGTATGCTAAACTTTGTTTTCCAGGTGTTATTTCTGCGAAGTCAGAATGAAATTGACCTAATGTTTTACCAATAAGTTCTCTACCGTATCTCTTCTTAAATTCATGAGCTAAACGTGGTATGTCTTCATTGTAAATGTGCATCGAATCTGTATCCTGATAAAATGCTTTTAATCCTAAGTCTTCAATCGTGCAAACACTTCATTCATTATTCTCTTCGACAATTGATAGAATATTAACACCAAGTGGACAGAAGTTAAAGTGTCTGCAAATGCTTTCGTTTAAGCTTGAAAATAGTTTTATCTGAACATCCAAACCTTCGAACTTCACTATATGGTTGTAGTTTCTGATGGCATATCTTATAGCATCTTTGTCATCTACTATGGTTATTTTTGACTCAATAGGAGATAGAATAGTTTTGCCATAAATACTGTTCAGAATGAGCTTTATATTTTCTTGCAAAGGATTTCCTTCTTTCTTATACTTTAACCTTAACTCAAACAACTTCTTTACTTCATCTTATTCTAATATCTCTGTTTCCATCGTAATAGTATCCTTGCAACACTTCACATTTGACACTTTGATATTTTATGAGGTCTTGTAATGTTATATGGTCAACATACATTAAACAGCAAGTGTTTGAACTTCTGGGAACGTTAAGTTCTGGATTTAGTTAGGGTCACAAACTATTAAAGGAAAGTGTCTGGGTATTCCAATCTCTGTTATCTTAATGAGAACAAAGAAGCCAGACATAAACTTTTCACCAATGGGTTCCTTTTGGTCGTCATCGAATAAATGTCTCATGAATACTCTGTGCTTAGCATCTCATCCTTCATAACCTTTGGAATACCTTCTAAAGTATAAAGTCTTGCTATAGCGGATGGATATAATGAAACAGCGTCGAAGTCAGGCAATGAGTTTCTTTCGCTCTTTTGTTTCATGTTATCTGACAACATACATCTTCCACCTTGAATGCATCTCGAAATAAATTCTCTTGGTTTATTTGAGAGGTCATAAAGATTTCCATTCGGGAAGTATACTCTGTTCTCAAATAATTTGTTAGCAATTGAACAAATACTAACGTAGTCATAAACGTTTAAATCAAATTCTTTCAATATGTCATTGCGGAACTTAACAAAACCTTCTCTTAAAATTCTTACATCTTGTTTACAATAAAATGAGCTATATTTTCTAAGTCGAAATGGTTTTCATCTATTCTGCAACCTTTGATGGAATCTATGTTTTTTCATGAACGTTTCAATATCTTTTACAAACTTACATGCTTCAGAAATGACACCAGTTCTGTTGTCATTTGCTAACAAAGTACTGCTGTAGTAGTTATATGGAAATACTTCTTTCGGTCCTGTTTGTAAGTTAAACATAGCAGGAAATAGTTTAAGCTTCTTATTTATAACACTGTAAGAGTCTTTTATAATAATTGCCCGTCCTTTATATAAGCCAGTTATTTGCATTGTTCGTGAACCTTTAATGATGGGAGTTCCTTTCACTTCTGTCATATGTCTTAAGATGAAGTTTATATCATAACTGAGGTTATGGAAATATATTAAACTCTTGTCAGGAAGTCGTTCCAAAAATTCTGTTGCACAGTTTCTGACCCCAAATGCTTTCACTCACTGAACCATCTTCACTGTCATAACAAAATGTTAAAGGCTTTATGAAAGCCGTCTGTGCTACATTCAATCAGCAAAGAAAACATGCTCAGGAATGAACTTACATTTAGCTTTATTTACTTCTTTTGACTCGGCTTTCTTCTTCAGTTGTACACAATACTTTGGAGCATATGTCAAATCTTTAAATGGTGCAAGGTTCTGTTTATATAAGTCAGTCGTATATGTGAAAAGTTCTCCATAAGAAATAGGTTCGAAATATTTGCACTCCCACAATGTTTTCATAACATCCCATAACGGTGTTGTTCTATCCATGCGAACAATATATTTACCATCTCTCATTGTATATATTTTCATCTGTTTTTCAATGTTCATTCCACCACACTCCTTCAAGATTTCTATATAGTTGCGAATGAAATATGTTGTCATTGGTAATCTTTCGTTTAGCATGTAGTGGTCTTCAACAAGAAGTAAGTCAATAGTTCGAACAGTTTCACATTCTTTTGGTATATATCTCTTTATTTCATTATGTCTTGAGTCATTGAAATAACCAATGGTAACATTAAATGCTATACTTGTTGCGTCAGAAATTTCTTGTACTTTACTTTGAGGAAAGTCTCTAACACGAATGACTTCTCTCATGTGGTCAATAGTTTCTTCATTTACTCCAGCCTGAATGCAAGCATAAACGAAGCAGTTATCTTCTGTCATAAGTGTTGCAGTTCTTTTGTTCAGTTCATTGAAGATTTGGTAGCGTTCAAGATTTATAGGTAATGTGCAAAGATACTTCCAGAACTGACCGCTTCTCTTCTTATAAAACTTCTTTTCATCAAGGATTTCATTCCAGAAGTCATCTATATCTTGTTTATCTCCTGTTTGTTTAAGTCTGTTCAATAATCTTTTCTGTCTTTCTGTCAGTGTGCTTTCATCTCTATATGGTCTCTTCTGTGGCTTTCCTTTCTTAACATCTGACATCGTTAAGCCTTCATATTCTGTTAAATCATACATCTTTATTTCAGTAAGATTCTTTATGTTTGTCAAGAAGAAGTCATAGTGCATTTCAACAATACCTGCAGCATTTGCTTCTATCTCTGATATAAAGTTCTCCTTCAAGAGCTGATGTAGTAATGTTCCAATATTATTGAGGTTTTCTTATATACGAAAAAAAGAGATCTGACATTGTGTCAGATCTCAGTAAAAGTGACATTTACATGTCAAAAAAATAGAATGAGTTTAAGTAATTAAAATTGAGGGTGAGAGTAGTATTGTATGAAATAATATCTCTCACCCTCCAATTCATCCTATGGCGCCGAAAAAATTTTGGTGAAATGCGACCACATTTCACCAAAATTTCTCGGCGCCATATAGAGAACTAGAGCCTGTGAGGTACTGATACTATCCATGTACCTCGCAGGCTCTAGTTCCAAGCCAAAATGGCTAAAAATTGCCCGCAATTGTTCACATTGCGGGCAATTTTTAGCCATTTTGGCTTGGAATTGGAGGTGAGAGTAGTATTGTATGAAATAATATCTCTCACCCTCCAATTCATCCTATGGCGCCGAAAAAATTTTGGTGAAATGCGACCACATTTCACCAAAATTTCTCGGCGCCATTAGAGAACTAGAGCCTGTGAGGTACTGATACTATCCATGTACCTCGCAGGCTCTAGTTCCAAGCCAAAATGGCTAAAAATTGCCCGCAATTGTTCACATTGCGGGCAATTTTTAGCCATTTTGGCTTGGAATTGGAGGGTGAGAGTAGTATTGTATGAAATAATATCTCTCACCCTCCAATTCATCCTATGGCGCCGAAAAAAATTTTGGTGAAATGCGACCACATTTCACCAAAATTTCTCGGCGCCATATAGAGAACTAGAGCCTGTGAGGTACTGATACTATCCATGTACCTCGCAGGCTCTAGTTCCAAGCCAAAATGGCTAAAAATTGCCCGCAATTGTTCACATTGCGGGCAATTTTTAGCCATTTTGGCTTGGAATTGGAGGGTGAGAGTAGTATTGTATGAAATAATATCTCTCACCCTCCAATTCATCCTATGGCGCCGAAAAAATTTTGGTGAAATGCGACCACATTTCACCAAAATTTCTCGGCGCCATATAGAGAACTAGAGCCTGTGAGGTACTGATACTATCCATGTACCTCGCAGGCTCTAGTTCCAAGCCAAAATGGCTAAAAATTGCCCGCAATTGTTCACATTCCCATCTTTTGTTGGTAAGACGAAGAATATGAAATAAATTATGAAGAAGATAATGATGAATAAAATATCACTTTTTATATTTTTGACACGTAAAGTTGTCACTTTTCTGTCAAACTGTTTTTATCGTTTTCGTATATAACAGTTTAACGTAGAACATTCATACTTTCCACCAAGTTTATAACATACCATCCATCTTTGTTGGGAGTTTATTTTAATCTTCTCTAAGAGTCTCATGAAAACCTTACCGAAATGTTTGTGTAAATAGTCTCTGTTTGGTTCATCTAAAGCTTCGATGTTAAAGTCAATGAGTCTATTGCCTGACTTCACATTTCTCTTCCTATTCTCTTCATCTTTCTTTAACCATCTCTCACCTTCTTTTGGTTTGTCGTCAATGGAACGAATGACATCGTTAGCTTTGCGAACTTGTTCTATAGCGCTCTTAAACATCTCTCTTCTCTGTTGTTTCAGTGTGTCGTCTCTTCTTCTTGTTTCACCAACGTTTGCATTTGTTATGTCAAACATCTCTTGACGAACGTCATGCGAAAGAGCTTTACGAGTATGACCAACGTTTGCATTTGTTATGTCAAACATTTCTCTTCTTACTTCATGAGGTATTGAACGTCTATGATATAAGTCAATAGCAACGTCATTTAAAGGAAATGCTCTTGCATGGACTTCGTCCTCGCCGCGTTGCGGCTTTATGAACTCATGAATTCTATCATAAGTTATTTCACCATTGTAGTCATTGAGGATGTCAGCGAGTGCTTTTTTGTTTGTCGCGTAATTTTTGCAACATCTATGTTAGCTTCTGTAAGAAGTTGTTTTATTTCCGAGTGTTCTAACTTAGACAACTTCCGATACATCTTTAGTAGGAAATAAAAAAAATTTCTTAGAAAAAATTAGATTAGATTTTTTTTAAGTTATTTTTCAAAATAATTTAATATTTTTATTTTAATGAAACACATGCAAGATTGCAAGTTCTTTTCATACCAATGCTCTCGCTACTGCCATCAAGAATGAGTTCAATTGGTGCTTCAAACGTTAATGTTATCTTTAACAAGAAGTTTGTGAAAGAATCTAAGTTTGGTCAGTATGTCAGACCATTAGCTATCGTCATTGACCGCAAACGTTATACTTCACAAGAATTAGCAGTAGTTTTGAAACAAAAGAGTTTCTTCGTGAATGTCAAAGATACTCATTATACTATTATAAAGAACTCCAACATTGACTTCTTCAGTATTACTATGAATCTTCCGAACAGAAAGAATATAAAAGGGTGAAACAAATGTGAAATATTATCCTTCATCTCTGAAGACAATAACGAACAAAGATGTTATACAGAAATTCTTACCAAAGGTTGAAGAAGCTTCTATTGACATTGACGAAGGAAGTGAAATGGTTGAAGAAATTGACCCTGAAGCTATTTAAGCAAAATATATTTTGGTTAGTCTTCATATCGATATTTTACAACAATTCCCCAATGTATAAATTTTCATACGCTTTTTTCATAAGCTTTATATACCTTCAGAAATTTTGCATAATCTTTAGAAGCATTTAGATATTGTTTAAATGCTTTGTATGTCTTCAAAAATTTTGCATAATCTTTTACATGTTGTTCGTTCTCTTCTTCTGTCATGAGTTCCGAATATTCTAAATTCATGTTCTTTCATATGAGATAAAATTTTATAAAAAAAAAAAATTAGCTTAGATTTTTTTAATTCTTCCTCTTTGAAGTTATCGAAATATTCTGTTATCTTTTCTTTCAGTAATGGTAAGTCTTCTTTGAATGTAAGTATTGTGCAACCTTTGATGTCATAGTGTGTTTGAGGAAGAGTATTTTTGACAATTTCCTTTATTTGCTCATTCGGTGTCATTGAAATCGGTAAGTTTTCACGATAGAACCAGTTTTCTGTCAGATTTTATATATTTGAGCGAGGTCATAAAAGCTCTTGTTGTTTCTTCTGACTAAATGCAACATAACCATATCTTTATCTTCTTCTTTCTTCTCCATCTCTTCAGTATATATCATATACTTATAGCTTTTTTCCTTTCCTTTTGGTACTGAACGTGGTATTCTTTTCTGTATGCTTTTGTCTTTGGATTCAATGACTTCATCTTTTGCTTGAAGTTTCTTTTCCATCTCTTCACGTTCTGCTTTATATAGTTCATCTAACATCATGAAAATATAACAAGCATAACGAGGTGAAGCCCACATTGCTACAGCATTTACTAAAAGTCTATGAACATAATAACCTCTCAAACCAGGTGCCAAATTCTTGCGATTTTCGTACAGAATCTCTTCCCTCGGTTTTCCGAGGGTAGCAAACATATGAGGAAATTCTTCTAAAAGTTCTTTTGTCTGTTGGTTTTCAAACCAATGATATGCTTGTTTTGT